GTATACAATGTGCCTCCTGCATGTACACCTCCATGCCAGAAGAGGGCAGCAGATCTCATTACAATGGTTGTCAGCCATCATGTGGTTGCTGGGAATTGAACTCAGGACCTCTTGAAGAGCAGCCAGTGCTCTTAACTTCTGAGCCATCTCTCCAGCCCCATGGCCTCTTGCAAGGGCAACAGTACTGTTAATTCCTGAGCCATCTCTATCGCCACTTCCCCAGACAACAAAGTTATTCTCTCTCTCTCACCCGCCCTCTCTCTCTCTCTCTCTCTCTCTCTCTCACTCTTTCCCCCTTTCCCCTCAGCCCAGGCTTATCTAGAACTACTGGACTATCCTGCCTTAGGCTCCTGAGTACTAGGCTTACAAAGTATGGTAGTTTGAATGAAAATAGCCCTCATATGCTCATATATTTGAATATTTGGTCCTTAGGTCACCAGGGAGTTAGCTACCGTGATTGGCCAGTGCTGTGGAACAATCTTTGTACACTGTAAATATGTGCTGCTCTCATTATTAATGAAAACCTGATTAGCAGATAGGTAGGCAGGATTTTTGGGGCAGAATGCTGGGAAGATGAAGGTGGGATTCTAAAGAGTCACTAGCCGGACGCAGAAGCAGCAACATGGAAAGTTCATAGACTAAGTAAACAAGCTTCGGGGCAGCACACAGATGAACAGAAACGGGGTAATTTAAGTTGTGAGAGCTGGCTGCAGACAATCCTAAGCTATCAGCCAAACATAGATGAACAGAAACGGGGTAATTTAAGTTGTGAGAGCTGGCTGCAGACAATCCTAAGCTATCAGCCAAACGTTTAAAATTCATAATCAGTCTCAGAATAGTTATTTGGCAGCAGCTGCCAAGTCACGGAGACACTCTACCTCTGCATGGTGCCCAAACATTCAGCACCTACATCCACATAAAACCTGAGAGAGATTTAAAAAGGTCCTAAACACACAAAAATGGAGCCAAACACAGCTTCCTAGTCGCACGTCTCACAAGCTGACTGGCTACAGGACTGAGACATGTCTCCCAGCAGCTGTCTGAGGGAGAAGCCAGCTGCAAGCTGTCGTGCACTACTGCCATGCACTAAACTAACCTGCACTGGTGACAGCTGACATAGTTTAGGATTTTCTCATGCAATCAAAAAGCAATACAGATGCTCAGTAAAGACAGATCCAGATGGAGAAAACTTCTAAATGGATTATAGTGCATGTCCTTCATCCCAGCACTGGCAAGGCAGAGGCAGGTTCAGTCCATTATCATCATGGTGGATAGCATGATGGTATGCAGGAAGACATGGTGCTGGCTACATCTTGATCAGAAGGAAACAGGAAGTGGACTCAAACACTGTGAGCCCTGCCTCCACAGTGACACACTCCAACCAAGTTAAACCTACTCCAACAAAGTCACACCTTCTACTAGTGCCACTCCCATTGGGGCCATTTCCTTTCAAACCACCACATAGACTCATTGCAATGAATTCTTTTGGCTGGGGCTGGTTGGAGGAAAGGGTAGACTGTATGACATCCCATAGCTCTTGACGGCACTAGGATGAAAGAGGCGTTGAAAGACTGAGGAGGAGGTGGGTTTTGTTCCTTTGCTTTGTTTTGTTTTTAAATAATTTGGGGGGTCTTTTGGGGATCATGCTGCAGGAGTGAGGGGCAGACATGGAGGGACTGGGAGGTGAGTAGGCTTGGGGTGCATGATGTGAATTTCCAAGAAATCAATAAAAAAAATTGTGATTAAAAAATAAAGAAATAGAGCCAGGTGGTGGTTGTGCACACCTGTAATTCCAGGCACTTAGGAGGCAGAGACAGGCGGATCTCTGGGAGTTTAAGGCCAGCCTGGTCCACAGAGAGAGTTCTAGGACAGACTCCACAACTACAGAGAAACCCTGTCTCAAAAAAAAAAAAACAAGAAGAAAGAAAGGGAGAAAGGGAGACAGAAGGAAGGAAGGAAGGAAGGAAGGAAGGAAAGAATGACTTCCATAGGCTCATATATTTGAATGCTTGGAATTGTTAGGGAAGGATTAGGGGAACTGTTTGGGAAGGATTAGAACATGTAGCCTTGTTGTAGCAATGCAGAAGTGTTCCCCTTTCCCCATAACCTCTCCAGCACAAGTTGTCATCAGTGTTTTTGATCTTGGCCATTCTTACAGGTGTTAGATGGAATCTCAGAGTTGTTGTGATTTGCATTTCTCTGATGACTAAGGATGTTGAACATTTCCTTAAGTGTCTTTCAGTCATTTTAGATTTCTCTGTTAAGAGTCCTCTGTTTAGGTCTATACTCCATTTTTTTATTGGGTTATGTGATCTTTTGGTGTCCAATTTCTTGAGTTCTTTGTATATTTTGGAGATCAGACTTCTGTCTGATGTGGGGTTAGTGAAGATCTTTTCCCATTCTGTAGGCTGTTGTTTTGTCTTGTTGACTATGTCCTTTGCTTTACAGAAGCTTTTCAGTTTCAGGAGGTCCCATTTATTAATTGTTTCTTTCAGTGTCTGTGCTGCTGGGGTAATATTTAGGAAGTGGTTCCCTGTGCCAATCCGTTCAAGAGTACTTCTCACTTTCTCTTCTATAAGGTTCAGTGTGGCTGGCTTTATGTTGAGGTGTTTGATCCATTTAGACTTGAGTTTTGTGCATGGTGATAGATATGGGTCTATTTTCATTCTTCTACATGTTGATATCCAGTTATGCCAGCACACTTGTTAAATATGCTTTCTTTTTTCCATTTGATATTTTTTGCTTCTTTATCAAAAATCATGTGATTGAAGATGTGTGGATTGATATCCAGGTCTTCTATTTGGTTCCATTGGTCCTCCTGTCTGTTCTTATGCCAATACCAGGCTGTTTTCAGTACTGTAGCTCTGTAGTGTTTGAAGTCAGGGATTGTGATGCCTCCAGAAGTTCTTTTATTGCCTAGGATTGTTTTGGCTATCCTGGGTTTTTTGCTTTTCCAAATGAAGTTGAGTACCGTTCGTTTGAGGTCTTTGAAGAATTTTGCTGGGATTTTGATGGGCATTGCGTTGAATCTGATCATTTTTTTATCAACCTGTCACAAGCTAGGGTTATCTGGAAAATGGAAACTCAATTGAGAAAATCCCTCCAACCACATGGCCTGATTGGTGATATGGTTGATGTGGAAGGGCCCAATCCACAGGGAGTGGTGCCAGCCCCCACCCCACACACATACAGGTGCGTGGTCCTGAGTTGTATCACAGACTGAGCACACCATAGGAGCAAGCCAATAAGCAGTGATCTTGCAGGACTCCTAGGCACAAGGAGGCGTAATTACATAGAAACTCAACTCAGTGTACTTGTCATGGACCAGCCATGGTAGCACAAGACTTTAATCCCAGCACTCAAGAGGCAGAGGCAGAGGCAAGGCCAGCCTGGTCTACAGAAAGAGTTCCAGGACAGCCAGGGCTACACAGAGAAACCTTGCCTCAAACAAAACAAAACAAAAAGTACACATCACTTCTTCCAAGAAGATGGATTCTAGCAATAGGCTACGTGCATTGTCTTAGGGCCCTAGGGAGGGATCTGGTGTGGTCAGTTCAGTCATACATATAGCACAGAAGTCATCTGGGCTTTTAGCCACCTCTGGTCCCAGTTGAGAGAGCCTGGGGGAATCCCCAGACCACACATAAAATACAAAGGTCACCTATATAGCCACCCCCAGTCCTGCTTGTGCAAGCTTTATATGGCCTGGCCCTTCAAATAGGATATATAAACAGGATATTAATCACCTCCATTCCCATTTCCAGCCTTCTGGGTAGAAAAACAGGTTATATATCTTTCCCCTGAAAAGACAGCCCTGCGTGTTTAACATTCCTGCTTTCCCTTGAGCTCTCTGTGAGCATGAAGACCTTTGTGCTCCCAACAGATGGAAGCTGTGCAAGTGGATAAAATGGATTCCAGAAGCCCTGGGTCATTTCATTACCAGGCGTGAACTACCTCTCTGACTTGCTGGCCAGGGAGCTTCCTGAGGTCCCCAAAACCATACAGGGCACTGCCACTGCTATTGGTTGCCCACCAGAACAGGACGGTTGTAAGACCTTTTTTTTTTTTATTTCTTTTTCTTTTTTGTCTTTCTTTCTCTTTCTTTCCTTCCTTCCTTTCTTTCTTCTTTTTTCAAGACAGGGTTTTCTCTGTGTAGCTTTGGAGTAGACCAGGGTAGCTTTGGAGTAGACCAGGCTGGCCTCGAACTCACAGAGATCCATCTGCCTCTGCCTCTGCCTCTGCCTACCGAGTGCTGGGATTAAAGGAGTGCGCCTCCACCGCCAGGCTAACATTTACATTTTAAACATTTTTATTTCTGTATGCATGTATGTATTGTGTTTGTGTGCTTATTGTGGCGGTAAGTGGTTTCCGTGAACAGTGATGCGAACTCAGCTAGTCAGACTTGGTAGGGAGCACGTGACTGTCATCTCTTTGCCCAGGCCCCATCCCTGCTTTTTTTTTTTAAATTGGCTCAGTAGGGTTTCTAAACAAGACTGGCCTTGAACTTTTGAACTTCATGCCACCATCTCCCAAAAGCTGAAATTACAGGCCTGTGCCGTCAATTCCTGATTTGCTCACTCAAGGACCCAAATATGCCCAGTGTGGTGACACACACGCCCTTACTCCCAGCCCTTGGGAAACAGAGACAGGAAGATCTCTGTGAGTTTGAGGTCAGCCTGGTCTACAATAGTGAGTTCCCGGACAACCAGGGTTACATAAGTGTCTCAAATAATAATAATAATAATAAAATTACAGACAGCTAGAAGTGACTTCAAGGAGAGCCTAAGGATGAGCCCTCTTGCTCCGCCCCGTCCACCTCCCTGGCGTCGGACAGGGACCCAAACTAGCGGGCTGCGCTGCGCATGCTCAGACGCAAAGATCTCCGGAAGAGGGGCGGAGCCGGCGGCTCTGTTTTCTGCGAACCTGTGCTTCCCGCCGCGGAGTTGGAGAAGAGTTGATCAGCCTGGTGGAATGGCTCAGGCTCGCTTTTCCGGAGAGAGGCGGCGTTTCTCCGGTCCCGAGGATGGTGACGCGACAGGTGGGACGCCTCCAGTGCTGGGGAAGTCGTGACCCCGGCTCCCGGGCTCCCAGGGTCCCTGCTCCCCTGGCCCCTGGCCCCTGGGCGGTGACTGAGCTCGGTGCCTTTGGGTCTCTTTTCGACTTCTTTCTATAACTGTCTTTCTGGTTACACCTGTGGCTCTTTCCACTAAGCAGTGTTTTTTACAAACGTAAAAAGCTGGGCGTGGTGGCGCGTGCATTTAATCCCAGAGACGGGGATCTCTGAGTTCAAAGCCAGGCAGTGCTACATAACGATACCTAGTTTCAAAAAACAAAAACATTGGGCTGCAAAAATGGCTGAGAGGCTAAGAACCGTGGCTGTGCCCCGCGTGGGTGGCGCACGTCTTTAATCCCAGTACTTGGGAAGCAGGATTAGGCGGATCTCTATGAGTTCAAGACCAGCCCCATCTACAAAGCGATTTCCAGGTCAAAAAAAAAAAAAAAAAAGGCACTGAATGCTCTTCCCGAGGACTCAAGCCAGTCCCTAGCATCCACATGGACCCTCAAAACTGTCTGTAACTCCAGTTCTGATACTCAGATATATATGCAGACAAAACACCAGCGACCATAAAATAAGTTAACATATTCAAAAGACAAGAACATGAATTTGCCTTGTGCTCCTGAGGCAGAGGATCAAGAGATCGAAGCCAGATTAAACGAAAACTAGAAGATTTGGGTTGAATGGCGATCGTGTACATTCCGAGCACTCCCAAGGTTCTAGTCCTGGGTTCAGTTTCGATCCAGCACCACAACAAACTGCGTAAAGGCTTTTACAAATAGGATTATACTTGATTCCCAGCCAGAAGAGACTAAGTCATAAAAGATTGAACTTGTGCTGGTATTGTATCAGTGAATGAGTTTCTAGATTCAATCCTCAGTATTGTCCAAAATAGGAAGTTCAAATTGAGATTGGATGAAGGTGCAGGGTTTTGGGTCAGGGGAGAGGTGTTTTGGTTTTTATTTTCTTTCTTTTTTTTGAGACAAGGTCTCACTCCTGTGACTCTAGCTGCTCTAGAACCCAGTTTCCTGTTTGCCGCTGGAGCAAGTTTCTAATCCAGCACTCGGTAAGCAAACAGGTCTAGGCATACCTCCCTTGTGCTTGCTTTGTGAGGGGCTTTGAAAGGAACCCAAGGCTTTGTACATGCAAGGCAAGCAGTCTCCCAATTGAGCTACATTCCCAGCCCTCATAACAAGAACTTTGTAATTCTTAGACCGAGAAAAGTGCTTTAATGGGGGTTGTTACCCTTGCTGTAGTAGTTTGATTTTGTTTGATTTTTTTTAATACTTATTTATTTATTATGTATACAATATTCTGTCTGTGTGTGTGTCTGCAAGCCAGAAGAGGAAACCAGACCCCATTACAGATGGTTGTGAGCCACCATGTGGTTGCCGGAATTGAACTCAGGACCTTTGGAAGAGCAGGCAATGCTCTTAACCACTGAGCCATCTCTCCCGCCCTTGATTTTGTTTTTTTATCTTTTCTAGACAGGGTTTCTCTGGGTATTTTTGGCTGTCCTGGAACTCACTCTGTAGATTAGTCTGGCCTCAAACTCACAGTGGTCTGCCTGCCTCTGCTTTCCCAAATGCAGGAATCCCTGCCACGCCCTGCAGCTATAGTAGTTTCAGCTATTAACTTGTGAATAAATTTGCAAGTCAATGCAGGTTGTGTGTGCAGACTCTTATTCCCAACAGGGAGCGTGGAAGAGTGAAAGAGTTTTCAAGGCCAACCTGGGCGACCAAGCTTGTTCTGGGACTACCTTGGCTACACAGAGAAGCCCTGTCTCATTCATAAATAAATAAATAAATAAATAAATAGAGACAAGAAATTTGCAATCCAAAATTCAAAAAGGACTGATACAAACTTGTAACTCCCCAGTCAATACTAGGAATTTTAACTATCAGGTACCAGAAATGGCCACTTTTTTGTATGTGTGTTACTATTACACAAGTTAATGCTTTGGAGGTACCTAATTATTTAATACTTAATATACAGTACAGTTAATATATCTCATAAATTTATTTTTGTTTTCATGTGGCATCTTGCCATATAGTTCAGTCTAGTCTCCAACTAGGAAAGTCTCCAGTCTCAGCCTCCTGAGTGCTGGAATTACACTGCACTCAACAGTTTCATTACCTTTTCTCTTAGCATTGTGTGACAAGACTGTGTTTCCTGGGAAGACACGACACACATATTCACCCTAGATAAAGATCTCACAACAGACCAAAATACATGTGTCACCAAAGTTCAGCTTGGTGAGCCAGTGTGTTTTATTGGGATTACTTACAGGAATATGGGTTAGGGGTTAATTATATTGATGTTGTTAAATTTATAGATTCTTTTTGGGCTTTCTGTATACACAGTCATGAAATCTGAATAATTACAGATTTACATTAGTCTTTTTTTTTTCTTGTTTTATCTATTTGGCTAGAATCTCTAGTACAAAAATGAAATGGTAGCTGCAGAGTGGTGGCGCACACCTCTAATCCCAGCACTTGGGAGGCAGAGGCGGGCGGATCTCTGTGAGTTCACAAGAGCTAGTTCCAGGACAGGCTCCAAAGCTTTAGAGAAACCCTGTCTTGGAAAAAAAAAAAGAAAAAGAAAGGGAAAAAAAAAGCCAGGCATGCTAGTGCACGCCTATGGTCCCAGCTTTCCTGAGGCAGAGGCAGGGAGATCTCTGAATTTCAGACAAACACGGGGCTGGAGAGATGACTCAGTGGTTAAGAACACTGACTGCTCTTCTAGGGGAACTGAGTTCAATTCCCAGCATCCACATGGCGACTCATGGCTGTCTAAGTCCAGTTCCAGGGGATCTGACACCCTCACACAGACATCCATGCAGGCATAACACCAATGCAACATAAAAAGAAATAAATAATTACTTTAAAAAAAAAAAGATGCCAGGCAGCGGTGGTGCATGTCTTTAATCCTATCACTTGGGAGGTTGAGGCAGGTGGATCGAGGCCAGTGAGTGTCAGGATACCCAGAGCTGTTACACAGAGGAAACCAAACAAACACATAGCAGCCATAACTTGTTCCGTCCCCTTATACAAATCATTGAGCCGACTTTAGCTTAATTTGTCAATTTCTGTTGAATTGGCCAGTTGCCTTGAAGACATTCTATACATTATTTTCAATTCTCTATTTTCAGAATATTGTCAAATCCAAAATTTACGAGAAAAGAAACTTTACATTTTCAGACAGTGATAATAGAATTAATCATAACTCTTTTTTTTTTTGGTTTTTTTGAGACAGTGTTTCTCTGTGTATCTTTGTAGACCAGGCTACCTTAAATTCAGAGATCCACCTGCCCCTGCCTCCCTGAGTGCTGGGATTAAAGGTGTGTGCCACTACCGCCCAGCAGTCATGGTTTTTCTTTTTTTTTTTTCTTTTTTTTTTTTTTTTTAAGATTTATTTATTATGTACACAGTGTTCAGCCTCCATGTATGCCCACATGCCAGAAGAGGGCACCAGATCTCATTACAGATGGTTGTGAGCCACCATGTGGTTGCTGGGAATTGAACTCAGGACCTCTGGAAGAGCAGTCAGTGCTCTTAACCTCTGAGCCACCTCTCCAGCCCCCATGGTTTTTCTTGATCAATAAAATAGCCAGTTAATCAGTTAGTTTATTCACTTTTTGGTGGGTTTTTTGTTTGTTTGTTTTTTGTATTTTGTTTTTTTGAGACAGGATTTCTCTTCATAGCCCTAGCTATCCTGGAACTTGCTCGGTAGACAAGGCTGGGCACAAACTCATTGAGTTCCACCTTCCTCTGCTTCCTGAATACTGGGATTAAAGGTGTGTGCCATCACTACCCAGCTAGTCTCTCCACTTTCTGAAATTGCCTTTGAATATTTTGCTATGGTTGAGTTGTATGTCCAGAAGTAACCTAAAGTAAACAGGCACACGTGTGAAATCCTGTTTCTTCCTGTCCTGTTTCTAAAGCTGCTCAGCTGACCACAGGCTTTCAGCCTTCTCTGGCATCCTCTGGCATGAGTACAATGCTTCCTGCAGTTCCAGCCACAGCGGTCCAGCGTTCCTGTTGTGGTTGTAAGAGAGTTTTTCAGGAGGGGCAGACTGCTTACCAGAAGAAAGGGTCTGCTGAGCTCTTCTGCTCCAGACTTTGTATCAGTGAATACAGCTCGTCTGCCGACTCCCCAGCTCCCCTCTGGAGGACGTGCTTGAACTGCTCAAGGTATGGAGGGCTAAATTATGTCCTTTATTTTGCTACATGGGTCTCGGTCAGACTCCTGATCATAAGTTTTTGTATTCTCATCTTTGAAGATGTGCCACCTTCCTGAGTGAGCAGAATTTGCTTTCTACTTCCAGTTCCTTTAATAGATCTCTCAGAAGTAGTTTGGGGTGGTTCTTGAAAGGGTGGAGAAGCCTTGAGAACTTCATAGCATTTGTTTGTTTCAGTAAATAAATGTTGGAATTAGGAATATTAAAATAGTATGTTTCCAGTGCTCAGAATGGATATGGTATGTTATCTTTACTTTTTTTTTTCTTTTTTTTAAGTCAGGACTCAAATTTTGTCATGTTTGTTGCCAATTCCCTTAAGTTTTTGAGGCGGAGTCTTACTATGTATCCTTTTTCTACAGTTGTGAGCTCATTGTGTAGAGCAGGCTGGACTTGAACTCATAAAGATCCTCCTGTCTCTGCTTTCCAAGTGCTGGGGACTACAGGTCAGGTGTGTGCTACCACACTGGGCTGTCTGCACTTTAATAGGTTCACAAACCCTTTGTATAGGATTGCTTCAATTCTTGACTAGTCTTTTGTTTCAAATCCTATTTTCTGGAACTCTGCTGAACTTTATCTTTGGTTTTCTTGTCCCTCTTTCTTTTTTTAGAGTTTGTTTATTTTATTTTATATATGAGTATTTTGTCTGCTTGTCTGTGTACCACCTGCAGAGGCCTGCAGAGGTCAGAAGAGGGCATTTGATCCCTTGAAACTGGAGCTACAGACAGTTGTGGTTTGCTGGAAATACAATCCAGGTCCTCTGCAAGAGCAATCAGTCAATCAGTGCTTTTTTTTTTTTTTTTTTTTTTTTTTAAGATTTCTTTATTTGTTTGCCGGGCGGGAGTGGCACACGCCTTTAATCCCAGCACTCGGGAGGCAGAGGCAGGTGGATCTCTGGGAGTTCGAGGCCAGCCTGGTCTACAAGAGGTAGTTCCAGGACTGGCACCAAAAGCTACAGAGAAACCCTGTCTCGAAAAACAAAACAAAACAAAAAAAAAGATTTCTTTATTTATTATATATACAGTGTTCTGCCTGCGTGAAAAAGACGCATGCAAGAAAGAATTTATTATGTAAGTTGTTCTTCTAAGGCATAAAAATTAGGTATGGCTTCCTCTGGAATATGGGAAAATATATATATATATATATATATATATATATATATTGCAAATTGTGGATTAGTTGAAAGATGATAGTCGTGCTTAAAAACTGGAAGAGGCTATCATTTGTAGTAATAACCTATGTTTTTATTGACTTTTTAGTTGTATTTATTTTATTTTGCATATCTGAGTGTTTTGCCTGCATATATGTATGTGCAACACATACCTGCCTGATGCCTGGAGAAATCAGAATAAAACATTGGATGCCCTGGAGCTGTAGTTATGGGTAGCCATGAACCAACATGTGAGTGCTGGGACTGAACCCAGGGACTCTGGGAGAACAGCCCCTGTTCTAACCACTGAGCTTCTCTCCCACTCCCTCATTGAGACTTTTTAAAATTTCACATTCCATAGCATCTTTTTCTTTTGAGACAGGGTTTCCTGGCTGTCCTGGAACTCACTCTGTCGACCAGGCTGTAGTGAAACCTCAAAAAGATCCTCCTGTCTCTGCCTCCTGAGTGCTTGGATTAAAGGCGTGAGCCACCACCGCCAATTGTAGTCCAAAATTTTTAAATTACTTTTAAGACTTCTTTTTTAACAGTGACTTATTATCTTTTTAATTAATACTTAATGGAGCAAAATGAAGGATAGCTTTGAAAATGACATTTAAAATACTATTATAGGGGGCTGGAGAGATGGCTCAGTGGTCAAGAGCACTGACTGTTCTTCCAGAGGTCCTGAGTTCAATTCCCAGCAACCACATGGTGGCTCACAGCCATCTATAGTGAGATCTGGTTCCCTAAATAAATAAATCTTTAAAAAATAAATAAACGAATGAATAAATAAATAAATAAAATACTATTACAAAGAGGAGATTTATTATTAAAAACTGTTAAGATATGTTTTAAGAAGCATCATCTCTACACTTCAGTATTAGAAACAAAAAGTAAAAGTTATTCTAGTCCAAAATAGGCTTACTGATTAATGTTTAGTTTATTTATGCCAGCCAGTTCACTCCTGTCCTCAGTTACTTTTATAGTTAACTGTCAGGGTCCTTCTTACATAGTTAGCATTTTTACTTTTTCTTTTTCAATTTTAAACTTTATTATATTAAAAAAAAATTACACACCAAAATTAACCGGGCTCAAAGACTGTACAACTAAATGAACTTGTATACATACAGTTGGAGTAGCTATTGAAAACAGAAGCTGTAGAACTTTCCAATGGGTGTTGTTTGGTTTGGTTTGGGTTTTTGTTTGTTTGTTTTTCCAAGACAGAGTTTTGAGCCTTCCCTGGAATTCACTCTGTAGACCAGGCTAGACTTGAACTCATGGAGATCCACCTGTCTCTGCCTCCCGAGTGCTGGGATTAAAGACGTGTGCCACCACTGCCCAGCTCCCATTGGGTTTATACTTTTATTGTTAAATATATTTTTATACATTTATCTACCATGGAAAATAAAAAATTCACGACAGAGTTAGAACTAGAAAATATTGTAAAAATCACCACTAATTTCATCAGAAAAGCCTTCAAGCCTTAAGAATTGATCCAGAGGCTGGAGAGATGATGCAACGGTTAGACACACTGGCTGATTTTTCCAGAGGATCTGGGTTCAATTCCCAGCACCCACATAGCAGCTCACAACTGTCTGTAAACTTGTTCCAGAGGATCTAACACCTCACACAGGTATACATGCAGGCAATATATCAAAATACATAAAATAAAAATAAATTTAAAAAAAAAGAATTGTTTTCTATAAAGTTTTATTTATTTATTTATTATGTATACGATATCTGCCTGCATGTATACCTGCATATCAGAAGAGGGCACTATATCTCATCATAGATGGTTGTGAGCCACCATGTGGTTGCTGGGAATTGAACTCAGGATCCTCTGAAAGAGCAATCAGTGCTCTTAATCTCTGAGCCATCTCTCCAGCCCCTAAAATTTCTAATTTTTACTTACAAGCTCGATGGTAATTACTGTGAGTTGTTTTCCTTGAAATGGCAGCCTTTCTTCATTTTCAAAAAATAACCTGCCTTGCCGGGCTGTAGTGGCGCACGCCTTTAATCCCAGCACTCGGGAGGCAGAAGCAGGTGGATCTCTGTGAGTTCGAGACCAGCCTGGTCTACAAGAGCTAGTTCCAGGACAGGCTCCAAAACCATAGAGAAACCCTGTCTCGAAAAACCAAAAAAAAAAATAATAATAATAATAACCTGCCTGGCCAGGCGGTGGTGGTGCACACCTTAAATCCCAGCACCCAGGCAGAGGCAGGCAGAGCTCTGTGAATTCGAGTCCAGCCTGGTCTACAAGAGCTAGTTCCAGGACAGGCTCCAAAGCTACAGAGAAACCCTGTCACCAAAAACCAAAAAAAAAAAAAAAAAAAAAAAAAAAGCAGGCAACACACCCATACACAAAAAATTAGTTTGGAAGATACCCATGACTGTCCTGGTTGGCTTTTACTGCTGCGATATGTTATTTTACAGTAAATGCATAGCAGAAGGAGCCCAAGAGTTCACTGTCCAACCAGCATAGCCAGAACAGTGACTCTAGGTCCCAATTCAGTGAGCCAGGACAGTATAGAAACAATATAGGAGCCAGAGGAGAAGGGACCCAGCATCCTGCTCTGGGCCTCTCACGGACACACACAGACTCATATTACCCCATAACTTTATCGTCCTCTTCAAAAACATTTGTTGTTTGTTTTTAGAAACATTTTAAATCGGAAGGATATAAAGAATGTCCAGTTGGAGGACAGTAGCTCTGGCAAGAACTTCTGTAGCCAGTCTTGCCTTTCATCCTACGAAGAAAAAAGGAAGCTATTTGTCACCATGTGTCCTGAGAGCACTCTGCTGAAGTGCAGCGTGTGTCGGAAGACAGCTACTGTGAGTCTGGGTGATCTCCATCCTTAGGAGAGTTCGGGGATTCTGCTTAAACGGCCGTTGTTACTCTTGTTTTCATCTTGGCAGTAATGCCTACTTTTCAAATTTTCATTCTGCTGCCAGTTTCATGATGAATTGGTGTAAGGACTGTGGGATTTACTGTTCCATGGTGTGTAATATGTGACAGCAGAGTCTCCATACTTGACTAGTGCAGAGAATACAAATGTATAGACAAGAGCTGCTGTTCCTTCCGTCAGAGTCTGGGAGTGTGTTTGCTATCATTGGGGAAATCTCTGATTGACAGTTGAGGAAGATGAAAAGACTTCTGACAGTTCCTATAGGAGAACCGTAGGGTGCTCCTGAGAACAGAGAGGCTAGCCACGATGTGGTGGGGGGGGGGGGGTAAGTGAGAGGAGCAGTTACTGGTCTGATCCCTGTCAATGAAGTAGGACTAGTGCATAGCTTGATTGCTATTTGATGCTTTGTCATCTAGTAATACATAATCCCAGTATTTGATGTAAAGAGGCGGGTGGATCTTTTCAAGTTTACCAAGTTCCAAGTCAGTCAGGGGTACGTAGTGAAACAAAAAAAGATAGGGCGATGGTGGCACACATCTTTAATCCGAGGACTTGGAAGGTAGAAGCAGGTGGATCTCTATGAGTTTGAGGCCAACCTGGTCTGCAGAGCAAGTTCCAGGATAGTCAGGGCCACACAGAGAAACCCTTTCTCAAAAAACCAAAAAATAAAAAATTTAAAAAAAAAAATTTTTAAGAGCCCTGTGTTGAGTTCCAGAAGGAGTCATTTTCAGGAGCATTTGATTTAGTGACAGGATGAGGAGCAGGTGTATAACTGTGGCACTCTGGAGGCAGAGTCAAGTGAACCTTGAGAGTGAAGTCAACCTGGTTTGTATAACCAAGTTCCAGATCAGCAAGGGCTGCTCATCTCAAAGGAAAAAATATTCATGTCTATAAAGGATTAAATAAAAATTAGCTTCTGAGTAGCCTCGACTGTCCTGAAACTGGCTCTGTAGACCGTGCTAGCCTGGAACTCAAAGATATTGCTTGGATTAAAGGTATGACTATGTTACTAGTATGCCTGCCTTGTTTTCCAAGTTTTTCTCTGTAGCTTGGAGCCTGTTCTGGAACTAGCTCTTGTAGACCAGACTGGCTTCGAACCCACAAAGAACCCCATGCCTCTGCCTCCTGAGTGCTGGGATTAAAGGCGTGGGCCACCACTGGCTCTTGTTTGATTTTTTTGTTTTGTTTTGTTTTGTTTTGTTTTTTTTTGGTTTTTTCGAGACAGGGTTTCTCTGTGGCTTTGGAGCCTGTCCTGGAACTAGCTCTGTAGACCAGGCTGGTCTCAAACTCACAGAGATCCGCCTGCCTCTGCCTCCCGAGTGCTGGGATTAAAGGCGTGCACCACCATCGCCCGGCTTTGATTTTTTTTTTTTTTGAGGTAATTTATTTAGAACTGAAGAAATGGCTCAGTAGTTAAGAACAATGGCTGCTTTTCCAGAGGACCCAGAGGTTCAATTCCTAGCACCCACGTGATGCTCATAACCACCTATAACTATAGCAACAGGGGATCTGGTGCCCTCTTCTAGACTCTACAGGAAATGTATGCACACAGTACACACATGCAAGCAAAACACTCATACGCATAAAATAAAAATAAATCTGACAACCTGAGTACAATCCCCAGGCCCCGCATGGTGGAAGAAAGGAATGAACTGACTCTGAATTGTCCTCTGACCTTCACATTCATGGGATGATCTTGTATGCTCCACACACATGCAAATAAATGAATAGGGTAACTTCATTTAGGATGTGTTTATTTCTGTTTATGTGCACGGTTGTGTGCCTGCATGTCTGCATGTGTACCGCTTGCACTCAGGTGCCCATGGAGGACAAAGGGGTACAGACATTACAGGAAATTGTGAGTAACTCAACCTGAGTATGGGGAAATAACCCTGGGTCCTCTGGAAGAGCAGGAGGTACTCCTAACTGCAGAACGATTTCACCAACCTGTTTTCTGTCACTTCTATCGATAATCTAGTCGCTGCAGAAAAAGAGACACTGGCCGGGCGATTGTGGCGCACGCCTTTAATCCCAGCACTCAGGAGGCAGAGGCAGGCGGATCTCTGTGAGTTCGAGACCAGCCTGGTCTACAGAGCTAGTTCCAGGACAGGCTCCAAAGCCACAGAGAAACCCTGTCTCGAAAAACCAAAAAAAAAAAAAAGAAAAAAAAAAGAAAAAGAGACACTGTATCAAAAAGTGGTTCTTTCTCACCACTGCTTTCAGTGGTGTAGAAAGATTAGATAGCAAAGCCCCTCTTTATAAAACCTTTCCCTTTGTCCCCTCACTCTTCACTGAACTTGCTGGCCTTGCTTCCTGCTTGTATGCTGCTTTTTATCACTCAACATATGTGATTTTTTTTTCTTTTTCTGAGACAGTGCCTGCTATCCTGGAAGTAACTATATATGCCAGTCTGACCTCTTAACTCACAAGAGATCCACCTGCCTCTGCCTCCTATACTAAGATTAAAAGTGTATGCCATCATACCTGTCTGTGCTTGGGATTTTTTGTTTTATTTTGTTGTTTTCAAAACAAGGTTTCTCGGGTCTGGAGAGATGGCTAGCAGTTAAGAGCACTGGCAGTTCTTCCAGAGGACCTGGGTTCACTTCCCAGCACCCACATGGCAGCTTACAACTGCCAGTAATTCTACCTCCAGGGGATCTGACACCCTCACAAATACCAATGCACAGAAAGTAAAAATAAGTAAATCATTTTTATTTATTTATTTTATTTATTTATTTTTTTTTTGGTTTTTCGAGACAGGGTTTCTCTGTGGTTTTGGAGCCTGTCCTGGAACTAGCTCTTGTAGACCAGGCTGGTCTCGAACTCACAGAGATCCGCCTGCCTCTGCCTCCCGAGTGCTGGGATTAAAGGCGTGCGCCACCACCGCCCGGCTAGTAAATCATTTTTTAAAAAAAAAAATAAGGTTTCTCTATAACCCTGGTGGTCCTGAAACTTGGCTTTGTAGGTCAGCCTAGCCTCAGACTCACAGAGATCCGCCTGCCTCTGTCTCCTGAGTGCTGCGGTTAAAGGCATGTTCCACCAGTGCCTGGCAAGTGCTTGTGATTCTTGTTTTTGTTTTCTGTTTGTTTGTTTTTTGGTTTGGTTTTTGTTTTGTTTTGTTTTTTTGAGACAGGGTTTCTCTGTATAACTACCCTTAGATGTCCTGGAACTAGCTCTGTAGATCAGGCTGGCCTCGAACTCACAGAGATAACCTGCCTCTACCTTTTGATTTCTGGGATTAAAGGCATGTTTCACCACTGCCTGGCATGCTTGTGATTCTTTGTTATGTATACACACACCAGAAGAGGGCACCAGATCTCATTATAGGTGATTGTGAGCCCACTTTGTTGTTGCTAGAAATTGAACTCAGGGTTTCTGGAAGAGCAGCAAGGGCTCTTGACCTCTGAGCTATGTCTCCAGCCCCGTGCTTGTGATTCTTTACCATGAAGTTAACCTAGAACAATGATTCTCAACCTATAGTCATGACTCCTTTGAGGGTCACATGTCATATACTCTGCATATCAGAAATTCACAGTGTGATTCAAAACAGTAGCAGAATTGCTATTATGAGTTAACAAAGAAATAATTTTATGGTTGGGGGTCACCATAACATGAGGAACTATATTAATGGGCCACAGCATTAAGAAGTATTGTAGACTATTAGCTTAAGATATGTTACTTTGTGCTGTGGAACATTTGTTTAGTGATGCAAAGATGTGTTGCATTTTTTTATGTTGCATTTGTTAACTCTGTGAAGCTGTGTTACTCTGCCTGTCAAACACCTGATTGTTCTAATAAAGAGCTGATGGCAGTAGTTTCTGTCCCATCCGGATCCTGCAGTCGTTTTCAGTCCCAAAGAAACACACAGAGGTCTACATTAATTAAAGTTGGTTGGCCTATTAGCTCAGGCTTCTTATTAACTTATTTTTACATCTTACATTAATCCATTATTCTTGTCTGTTTCAGCCACGCGGCTTGGTACCTCTTTCATCAGCGAGGCAGTCTCGTCTTGCTTCCTCACTATTTGGGTGAAGACTGCAGGCTCACTCTTTCCTCTTCCCAGAATTCTCCTATTCTCTTCGCCCTACCTCTACTTCCTGCCTGATCACCCTGCCTATACTTCCTGCCTGGTTACTGGCCAGTAAGCATTTTATTAAAATACAAGTGGCAGGATAAAGGACTATTGTCCCACAGCCAAGAGCCAGTAGCCAGGCTGAAGAAAGGATAGGTGGGGCTGGCAGAAGAGAAAATAAATGAGAGGGGATACCTGAGAGGAGGAGGAGCAAGAGAAGGTGAGGAGGGTGTCAAGGCCAGCCACGCAGCCACGGAGTAAGAGGGAAAGCAAGATATACAGAAGTAAGAAAAGTAACGGAAAGACAATTATCACATAGACTCACTCATGGATTTTAAACATAAAGCAAAGAACCAGCCTACAAACCACAATCCCAGAGAACTTAGACAACAATGAGGACACTAAGAGAGACTTATATAGATCTAATCTACATGGGAAGTAGAAAAAGACCAGATCTCCTAAGTAAATTGGGAGCATGGAATAGGCCAAGCCAGAGCATTATTCTGTCAAGACCCATGCATGGTAAATGTTGTTCAAGCAGCTTTACCTGTGTTCTAATACATCTTGTTCCTCTGGCAGCTGACTGGGGAGACCTTGGGTGAGGATTGCAGGGAGAAGCGGGGAGGGGAGCAGAGAAAAATGTAGAAAATGTAGAGCTCAATAAAAATCAGTTTTAAAAAAGACAAAATAAAAAATAAGAAAGGTAAAAGGCCTAGAGGCAAAAGGTAGATGGAATAATTTAAGAAAAGCTGGCTAGAAACAAGCTAAGGCCAGGCATTCATAAGTAAAAAATAAGTCTCCATATGTGTATTTATTTGGGAACCAGGTGGCACACCCCTAAATAATAAGGAGCCTAAAGAGTAAAAAAACAACCACGTACAAGGAAGGTTGGGAACCACTGGCCTAGAGAGACAGTTTTTGCCTCAGTATCTCATAGTAGATATAAGTACCCTTTTTGGTCTCCTTAGCCCTGGTAGAAAGGCGGCTTTCTTGAACTCATGTTCAAGGGTGATGTACTGAGGAAAGAAAACTAGTTAGACAATGTGTTCTTATTCAGTAGGCTTAGTTGCCCAGGATAATAAACCTCTTGTGACCTCTTTCATTGCATATGTGTTATTACTACTGTTGTTAAATGATAAGGTAGTTTTCTGATAAACGACCAAATTGCTTCATTTTATTGTTATAGCCTCTATTCTCCTTGTTTATAAAGAAGTATAAAAAGTTGTTTTTGTAATATTTCAGCTAAGAGCAATTATAGTAGATATACTTAGTGTTTAACCATTGCATGTGATATACCAGAAATATGAATATTATTTTTAATCTCTAAACAGACACCACCCAGAATACTTAGATCTTTTCCTTGTAAAACACTGGAACTCTCAGATGAGATGATTATGATTACTAATGACTTGGGGAACGCAGAGATCTTCTGCTCTGTTTGTTTTTCTTCATACAACAGTGCGGTGATGGAATCCTCAACAGGTAACACCCAGCAACTCCAAAGTTGTACTAAATCCTGGGAGACACAGCCATTCTTTGCTTTTAATTTATAACCGATTAATTTCCATATTAGAGTGAGTTAAAATTGCAAATGAGTGCTGGAGAGATGGCTTAGCAGTTAAGAATGCTTGCTGATCAATCACGAGGACCCGAGTTTAGACCCTATGACCTGTGTCACAACATTCACTCACAATTTAAATAAGCTTTATTTAAAATAGAAAAACAGTATGCCAGACAGTGATGGTGCACACCTTTAATCTTAGCACTCAAGAGGCAGAGGCAAATGGACCCCTGAGTTCCACACCAGCCTGGTCTACAGGATGAGTTTTAGGACACCCAGGGCTACACAGAGAAACCCAGTCTCCAAACAGACCAGTAATAGAGCTCCGTTGTCAGAGACTTGCCCAGCAGACATGAAGCCCCTGGGTTCCATGCCCACTGCTGCACTCAGACTTCATGTTAGACTAGCATTCTCCCTCTGATCATAGAACCTTCGGAACAAAAACACTTACTATTAAACCGTCCTTTGTTTCTGCCTGGATTACAAAAAGGATTTTTGTTTATTTTTGCCAGTAAATGTTTCCACGGTACACAGTGCTTCAAAAGAGAATCTTTCTCCAAAGAAATATCCAATTCCAGTTATAAGCAATATAAGGTCATTAGTAAATGACCATGTTGACCTGTTCATGAACACTGATCTCTTACAAGGTAAACAAACATTTGACATAAACAATGTTTTGTTATACTGTTGAGTCCCTTTGTTTCTTCATATGAAATTAGCAGCATGAGCTTTTGGTACTGTTAGAGCAAGAAATCTTGAATATATGCTTTATTTCAACAGGTTCACTTTCTTCTGTGCCTACAAATGTCATCGATGTAAGTTTTATCCCAATTTTTTCAGTTTTATATAGATTTTTGTGTGTGTATGTTTTCATACAGAGATATTTGTTTATTTATTGAGACAGGGTTTCTCTGTCTAACCCTGGTTGCCCTGGAACTTGTTCTGTAGACCAGGCTGGCCTTGAACTCAGAGATCAACCTGACTGCCTCCAGGTGCTAGGATTAGTGTGCCACCACCACCTTTAATCTCAGCACTGGGGAGGCAGAGGTAGGCCAATCTCAGTGAGCTCAAGACCTGCCTGGACTGTTTCACAGAGAAACCCTGTCTTGAAAAACCGGAGGGAGGGAGGGAGAAAGAAAGAAAGAAAGAAAGAAAGAAAGAAAGAAAGAAAGAAAACATCACATGTGCTTTTAATATGAGCACTTGGCAGGGGTGGGAAGTGAGGGAGGAAGGCAGATCTCTGAGTTCAAGGCCAGCATGGCCTACAGAGCAAGTTCCAGAGCCAGGGCTCCACAGATAAACCCCGTCTTGAAAGGCAAACAAACAAGCCAGGCGGTGGTGGCGCTTGCCTTTAATCCCAGCACTTGGGAGGCAGAGGCAGGCGAATCTCTGGGAGTTCGAGGCCAGCCTGGTCTACAAGAGCTAGTTCCAGGACAGGAACCAAAAGCTACGGAGAAACCCTGTCTCGAAAATTTAAAAAAATTAAAAAAAAAAAAAAAAGACTCTCTCTAATCCCAGCACTCGGGAGGCAGAGGGAGGCGGATCTCTGGGAGTTCGAGGCCAGCCTGGTCTACAAGAGCTAGTTCCGGGACCAGCACCAAAGCTACAGAGAAACCCTGTCTCGAAAAACCAAAAAAAAAAAAAAAAAAAAGCAAACAAACAAAAAATATACATTCTGTAGTTATATTTCTAGAACTCCTTTAAACATTTAGTACTGAATCTACATGGTGAATAAGAATTGAAACTTATATGGGCTGTAGAGATGGCTCAGTGGTTAAGAACACTGGCTGTTAATCTAGAGAACCCAGGTTCAGTTCGCAGCAACCACATGGCTGCTCACAACTGTCTGTAACTCCATCTCCAGGGGATCCAACACAAACACACATTCAGGCAAGACACTGATGCACATAAAATAAAAATAAATTCTTTTTTTTAATATTTACTTATTTATTTATTTATTTATTATGTATACAATATTCTGTCTGTATGCCTGAAGGCCAGAAGAGGGCGCCAGACCTCATTCCAGATGGTTGTGAGCCACCATGTGGTTGCTGGGAATTGAACTCAGGACCTTTGGAAGAGCAGGCAATGCTCTTAACCACTGAGCCATCTCTCCAGCCCCCTAAAAATAAATTCTTAAAAAAAAAATAAATTTTTAAAAAAAGAAAAAAGAACTGAGCGTTGGTGGCACACGCCTTTAATCCCAGTACTCAGGAGGCAGGCAGATCTCTGTGAGTTCAAGGCCAGACTGGTCTACAAGAGCTAGTTCTAGGACAGGCTCCAAAGCTACCGAGAAACCCTGTCTCAAAAAATAAAAAAAAATAGAAAGAAAGAAGGAAGGAAAGAAAGAAAAGAAAAGAAGAGCTTATACTACAAAATGTGCCTTTTACTTTGTTATTACAATAGATGTGTTAGGTATTTTTTTATTTGAAACAACTAAACGAGTGTTTTTTGTTTTTTTTTTTTTTATCATTTTTTCTTAAGCGCTCACCCAGTGAATCCAGTAGTGGTGTTGGTAATAGTGTGGAGCAGCCAAGCCTCCTCCCATCTTCACCAGTGCTCTTTGAGGACACAGCAGGCCCTACTGTGGAAGCACAGAACGGCAGGGAGTCAAACCAGGTACACAGCATGGAATCTGTGATAGTGAATGATACACCATGTTGTCCAACGTCTACATCCACAGTGCAAAAAGTTAAAAAAGAACCACAAAATACTAGAAAGTCTGGTAGCTCATGTTTTCAACATTCCAGCACCAATACAAATGATGATGTTACATTCTGCCATTCTTGCCATTTGTTCTACCAGAAAAATTTTACCTGCCAGAGAGAATCATTTGCAACCCAAGGAACTGCTGACTGGGAGAAGACCCTAGAAAAATTCAGGAAGCATGAAAAAAGTGAAGTGCATTTAAAGACACTGCGGTTTTGGAGACAGTACCAGTTTCTGGATGAAGTTCCACGTGATGGTTCATCTGTTTATTCAGAACATATTGAGGGAAATAGAAGGTACCTAAAGCTTGTCATCGAAAGCATCTTATTTCTGGGAAAACAGTGTTTGCTCCTAAAAGGAACTGACCAGTCTATTCCGTCCATTAATAAAGGCAATTTTTTGGAATTACTAGAAATTCGAGCAAGAGATAAAGGAGAAGTGTTTCGGCTTCTGAGTTCACATGGTGATTTCTATCACAGTACACAAGTTCAGGAGGAGATTATTGAAATAATAAAGGCTGAAATGCTGCAGGACATTGTGGGTGAGCTCCGTGTCGCCTCGGCTTTCTCGATCATCTGTGAGGAGACAGCAGACGGTGCTGCTGGAGGACAGCTTTCAGTGTGTGTGCGGTACGCGCACACAACCTCCAGTGCGGTCCTCGTTAAAGAAAGGTTCCTGGGGTTTGTTAATATTGAGGAAATGACTGCAGTCCACATACACAGGCGTATCAAAGCTTACCTGCTGCAGGTCGGAATTGATTTTAATAAGATATGTGGTCAAACCTATGATCTAGCCACAAATTTGAGGGTAAAATTTAATGAAGTTGTAACAGAATTCAAGAGGGAAGAACCGAGAACTTTGTATGTCCATTGTTATGCACATTTTTTTGAATTAGCAGTCATTAGTTTCTGTAAAGAAGTGAAAGAACTCCGAAGGACACTACATACTCTGAGCTCTTTGTTCAGCACTGTTCGCCTGTCGGGAGAGATGTTGGCAGCTTTGCAAACCATGTGTAAGCTAAGTCAAAATAAAACTTGTCAGAAGCACGCATCCCAGTCGTGCTGGCCAGCCCACGAGGACTTGTTGCTGTCGGTGACGGAGTGTCTCCCAGAGGTCATTGAGACTCTGCACTCAGTGGCCCGCCAGTCCGCAGGCACAGCTGCCGCTGACCAACTGAATGATTTGCTGGTAGCGGTTACCAAGTTTGAATTTATATTTTGTTTGAAATTTCTTTATCGAGTACTCAGTATTACAGGAATTCTTTCCAGAGAGTTTCAAAGTGAAACTGTAGACGTCTTCTCTTTGTTTTCAAAAATCGAAGCAATTTTGGAGTGTTTATCTTCTGAAAGGGATGAAATGTATTTCCAAACTATCTGGGATGGAGCAGATGAAATATGTAAAAAGGTAACCAGTAAGGGTTTTGAAGTTGAAAAACCCTCTTTTCAAAAAAGAAAAAAAATTCAGAAAACAGAAGAGCCTGGCAACTCAGAGAGTGTGTTTTTTCCTACCTCAGCAGATGAACACTATAAAATTAATATTTATTACCAAGGTCTGGATACTTTGTTAAAAAACTTAAAGTTATGTTTTTCAGAGTTTGACTATTGCAAAATGAAACAAATTTCTGAGCTATTGTTTAAATGGAATGAACCATTAAATGAGTCAGCAGCTAAACATGTTCAAGAATTTTATAAGCTCGATGGAGACATTATCCCTGAACTTCGATTTTACCGGCAGTATGCGAATCTCAACTTTGTCACAGATTGTGGCTCCTTAAGCTTCATAGACCTTGGCCGTTTGTTTAGTCAGCATGGCCTCCACAGTAATATTCCTCGTCTCTCGAAACTGTTACATATTGCTTTATCTTGGCCAGTTACTTCAACAAATAATGAAAAGTCATTTTCCACACTGCCTCATCTTAAAGCATACTTACTTCGTACCATGGGACAAGAGAAACAAACTGGCCTGGCTCTAATGGCTGTTGAGCAAGAGCTGGTAAATAGGTTGATGGAGCCTAAAAGACTCAGTGGAATTGTGGAAAAGTTTATTAGCCAAATGAAAGATACATATGACTTGCAACTTTGAACTTAATTAAAAGAATTTTATGGGGGCTGGAGAGATGGCTCAGAGGTTAAGAGCATTGCCTGCTCTTCCAAAGGTCCTGAGTTCAATTCCCAGCAACTACATGGTGGCTCACAACCACCTGTAAAGGGGTTTGGTGCCCTCTTCTGGCCTGCAGATATATACACACAGACAGAATATTGTATACATAATAAATATTTTTTTTAGAAAAGAATTTTATGTTTTTATTGGAATCCTAATAAAGTTTGCTTGTTGTTTATTCTTTTGAAATAGTCTTACTACATTGCTTAAACTAATCTTTTTTTTTTAAATATTTATTTTATTTATTTATTATGTATACAATATTCTGTCTGTGTGTATGCCTGCAGGCCGGAAGAGGGCACCAGACCTCTTTACAGATGGTTGTGAGCCACCATGTGGTTGCCAGGAATTGAACTCAGGACCTTTGAAAGAGCAGGCAATGCTCTTAACCACTGAGCCATCTCTCCAGCCCTGCTTAAACTAATCTCGAATTTTTGAGGTCTTGTCACCCACTTTTACATACTTTTTCCCTTTTAAAGTATTCTGGTAGACAGATTGTTTTAGGCACATGTACATTTGACACAATGAGAAACCACTACATACCAGAAACTAATTTTTTGGGTTTTTTTGAGACAAGGTTTCTCTGTAGCTTTGGAGCCTGTCCTGGAACTAGCTCTTGTAGACCAGGCTGGCCTCGAACTCACAGAGATCTGCCTGCCTGGGCCTCCCGAGTGCTGGGATTAAAGGCATGTATCACCACTGTCCAGCTTATGTACATTTCAAATTAAAAATCATTGCTGGGAAGCTAGTAGTGCTACAGAAGTATAGGACACAAGGCCTAGCTAGAACAAGTCCCTGACACTGGTAGAGAGATGGAGTGACTGTGAGCATAAGGTTTAAAGTACAGAGTGAGGGAGTAGGCAGTGATCACCCTTTAATATCTGCTTCAGCTCATTCCAGAAGGAACGAAAGCAGGGAAGTAGGGAGGATTTCAGCAAAGCCGAGCTCAGCTTTGGTTTTCTCACTTATCTGCTTCCTTTAAAAAGTAGAGCCAAGAAGTTTAAGCAGGTAGCCCCTGACCATCATTCAGGAGCAGGGAATTCATTCCAGGTTCTCAGGGACTGTCCAGCTCGGCAGTCCAGCACATCACCTCAACTCTGGGCCACCAGTAGTCATTGGTCAATCAGCTGTCTTGATTCAGTCTCCAGGGGAAGCCAAAGGCAGACTAGGAGTCCCGTCCCCATGCAGTCTGAGGCACTTGTTAGGAAGAGGGCCCTTGGGTCACCGGGATAGAAAAGACCTTGTGAGGGTAGCATTCCTTCTGACCTGGACATGATAAGGTCTCCAAGACTAGAATCAAACCCATGAGAGCTACAAGCCCCTAGAATTGTCCCATGATGCAGATGTTTCCCTTGACTCTTATCTACTACTGAACTGCACCTGTGCTGGCAAGTGCATCTCCAACCTGCGTGTGCTCAGGGTGGACGTGAGGTGGACAGTGTACTAGGTCCCCAGCCATGATCTAGTTAATCCCATATTCATTTACCGGGCTTGCTTTATTAAAACACCACAGCCCAGTTTGTGCCAAAACTCATTCATCTCCTCTGGTCTCTGCCAGAGGTCTCTTGCTCTGTTGCTTACCACCCAGTCTTCACCCCAAGGTGTAATACACCCTGGGTTCACTTTTACTGATTTAGGGAAGGTGAAAATCCTTAAGTTATGCAGTAAAGGAGACCAACAAGAGGCGTGGGCAGGCAGGCACAAGGCTATGTCTTCAGGGGTGGGATCCTGTGGCTCTGGGATACAGGAAGGGGCTTTACTACTTGGGGGTTCTAAGGCTTCTGATTGGTATGGTGGGAAGGCTAGAGGTAGGCCATCATGTGTATTTCTTACATTAGAGAAAACAGTTCTTTTTTTAATTTATCTTGTATACTGTGTTCTGTCTGCATGTATGCCTGCAGGCCAGAACAGATGGCTGTGAGCCACCATCTAGTTGCTGGGAATCGAACTCAGGACCCCTCGAAGAGCAGCCTGTGCCCCTTTTTTTTTTTTTAACAAAAACAAATTTTATGTGCATTGGTGTTTTGCCTGCATGCTTGTCTGATCTTGGAGTTATGGACAGTTGTGAACTGCCATGTGGGTGCTGGGAATTGAATCCAGGTCCTCTGGAAGAACAGCCAGTGCTCTTAACTGCTGAGTCATCTCTGCAGTCCAGGAAAGCAGTTCCTTGTTTTGTTTTATTTTGTTTTTTGAGACAGGGATTCTCTGTAGCTTTGGAGCCTGTCCTGGAACTAACTCTTGTGAACCAGGCTGGCCTAGAACTCACAGAGATCCGCCTGCCTCTGCCTCTTGCTTGCTGGGATTAAAGGCGTGCACCACCACCGCCCAGTTTAGGAAAGCTGTTCTTAACATGTTACTAGGATAAAATACAAGGATTAGCCAGGCAATGATGATGTACATCTTTGATCCTTGCAATAGTGAAGCAGAAGCAGCCTGGTCTACAGAACTTGTTCAAGGATAGCCAAGGCTACATAAAGAAATCTTGTCTCAAAAAAAAACCAAGAATGAACTCGTTTAAACCTTGTCCAGCCACATATCACACAGGAAAGTCTTTCTCTAGGATACCTTATGTAAAAGTGGTCATAAGGATTGAGGTTATGTGTAGCACAATTAATAAAAACTCAGAAACAGATATTGGTGTTCCACCTGAATTTCAGAAGAGCAAAGCAGCCGTGCCACTAGAGAGCTCTTACCTCAGTGAATACTTTAGACTGAAAGAGCTAGTTCCTGTCTCATCCCACTGTCTTTTACTCTGGTGCTGGGATTAAAGGTGTGTGCCACCATGGCCTGGCCTCTGTGGCTGACTAGTGTAACTGCTTTGCACTGACCTCAGGCAGGCTTTATTAAAACACAATATACCACTACATTTCCCCTTTTTGTCTAAAAAAGGAAGGCTATACCTAATATACGCATAGCCGGGCAGTGGTAGCACACGCCTTTAATCCCAGCACTCGGGAGGCACAGGCAGGCAGATCTCTGTGAGTTCTAGGCCAGCCTGGTCTACAAGAGCTAGTGCCAGGACAGGCTCCAAAGCTACAGAGAAACCCTGTCTCAAAAAACTAAAAAACAAAACACTACGCATTAAGTACAATAACTATACAATATATAAATGCACCAACAATGTCTAGTCCATTCGCATTTGATAAATTCAGAGAAAATACTCCATTATCTATCCTATCTTGGTGAGTCCAATCTTGTACTTAATTTACTTTCTATCATAACTTGCTTTCTGTGTCTGATAAACAAGGAAGATTATATCTAGTTTTCAACTCTTAAGAGACCCAAGAAGGAAATGTTAACTGAGTAAGCAGGAAGTAAGAGCAAGCAACTTCCAAAACATGGATAGACACCCAAAGCTCCTCTGTAATGCTGGGACATCCAATTCTTAGGCCTAGGCCTAAGTAAAGTAAAGGCACAGGCCTAGAATATCTGTCAGAGACAGTTTTTTAAGTAAAAGAAGATATTCTGAAGGGCTGACCCACCTTGTCTTGGAAAGTTTGGAAGTCACTTTTGTGTTCTGCTTGTCCAGCATACTGTCAGCAGTCAAGACAAGGATATTTTCTTGCACAGTTAAGAAAGTAAACTCCATGTGGAGTTTCTTCAATGCCCATTATCGTCTCTGAAGTAGATTGATGTCTCATTGTCATAAAAAAATAAGAACCTAGATTATTGAAACATCATAAATGTCATATTTTGTAGACCTCTGGAGTTTTGAAGATGACCTGTCTATCTAAAATATAACTTTGTTTGACCTGGAAAACATACCTAATGTTTAATTATATTAAGTAACTAACTACTAACTGCATTTCCTTATTATCCTAAACAGTTGGTAATAATAATTTTCAAGGACTAGAAATTTGCATTACATTGTTAGATAAGTTGTATAGGTATAACATCTTGAGCAAGAGTAGAAATGTATTATAATATGTTATAACAAAATTAATCTAAAATTTGTATCATTATACAAAATTTGTATAAAATATACAAAAGTCTGATTTAATGTAAAACATTTAAAACTAGTAGTTGCTGTTTAAAAGTAGACTCAATAGTCTAACTTTATCTTATCATATCTATATCCTGCCTTTTTTCAGAGTAGATTCAGTAATCTAGCCTTTTATTCTATCATATCTATATCCCTTTTTTCTTTTCAAAACAAGGACCTTGAATCTAATTTTCTTTGTTTAGGGCTGAAGAGATGACTCAGAGGTTAAGAGCACTGACTGCTCTTTCAGAGGTCCTGAGTTCAATTCACAGCAACCACATCGTGGCTCACAACCATCTGTAATGAGATCTGGTTCCCTCTTCTGGCCCACAGGCAGGCAAACCACTGTATACTTAATAAATAAATCTTTAAAAAAAAAAAAACTTTTCACCGGGCAGTGGTGGCACACACCTTTAATCCCAGCACTTGGGAGGCTGAGGCAGGCGGATCTCTGTGAGTTCGAGGCCAGCCTGGTCTAGAAGAGCTAGTTCCAGGACAGACACCAAAAGCAACAGAGAAAATCAAAAAACAAAAAAAAAATTTCTTTGTTTAGGTTTTTTCCTGAACATTACCATTAACAACTTTTAACCAATCCCCCTAAAGAATGACAGATATCCATAACCCATTGAATGACTAAAAACCACCTACTCCACCTCTTGGGAATGTGGGCATCATATTAAATTTAGTTCATGCTGTCTGGGGTTGGGGGTAACAGAATCTTTAGGGGATCCTGAAAAGAAAGATTTGGGTCAATTGTTAACTCCTGGGAGAGGTAGCTGTTCCATTCACTTGTTGTCCAGGCTCTGTGTAGTGGGAAAATGCAGAGGTTGTCTCAAGTCCTGGCTAGAGTAGTCTGTGAGACTGAATCATCTCAGCTAGCCACCTTGAAATTGTCCTGAGCACTTGGTAGTCCAAAGCCAATCTCTGGGTGGTGTTTTTCAGCTTAGTGGTGTTATCATAGTCCTGGAGGAAT